GATGTTGATATCCATGCGACCACCCGGGGCACTCAGATCGCGTCCGGATAAATCGCGTCATAGATGTTTCTCGATCCGCGTGAGATCTAGAAACTTCTAATCCAAGAAATATCGGACAGAACTTCGTCGATCACTCGTTTTGAGATCTAGAAGTTCTAAGCGTTATACCTCGGCTAAGCGACGGTCATTAGCTCTTCTTACTATAACGCTAAAGGCTAATACTAAGGAAGGATGAGAACGGGTGATGGAAGACTGATTTAGACCTGCTCCTCCTCGGTGAAGTGCTCGATCAGTGTTGCTGCAGCAGGGCTTCGCGCCGTTAAGGCGCTCTCCAAAATCAGATCATTCCAAATGAGGTAAAGGGGGTCCTATTTATAGGAACCAAAGAGGGGGGGGGGGGGCTGTCCGCCCCACAAATCTAGGGACACCCCAGGGAGTGCCGCACAGATTCTGAGACACCCTTGGGTGTGTCTCGCCGAAATATCCGAGACACCCTAGGGCGTGTCTCGCGCTTCTTCGAGACACCCCTAGCGGTGTCTCGGCATTTTCCGAGGACACCCCTGGGCGGTGTTTCGGGATTCCGAGACGTCCGTAGGTGCTTTCTGGTCGTTTCCCCCGTAGATCTCTTCGTACAGCAACTCGGATTTGAGTTGATTCCGGGTGCGGTTGCGATGCGTTGACGAAGAATTCGATCCCGCTTCTTTGAGTTATTGGATATCTGGTAGAGTGGTCGAGGCAGGACGGCATTGTCCCTTTTTTGTGGAGGCAGTGCGGGCTTCCCGATTGTGTCCGGTCTTCGTTTGATTTCCGAAGGTCCTATCTGCCTCACGCTAAACTCTTCGATTTCACTTCAGTCGTTCGTCGACCGTCGATTTTAGGCCTTTATGTGGATTGGATGGTGACCCGTTCATCGTCGCTCGTTAACACTGAACCGGTTGTGGAGAACTATAGGCAATTTTCGATGCCTACACACCGAGGTGGAGATTTATGAAGAAATCTAAAAAAACCAAATTTTGTGTCATAAGTCGACTCATGGACATGCATAAGTCGACTTATGGTAAGTCGACTTGTGTTTGTGCACGAGTCGACTTACGTTCTATTCTAGAATTGTTGTTTTTGGCTCTGTCAAGTCGACTTATAGGCACTGTTAAGTCGACTTATAGACACTGTTAAGTTGACTTATGATCTGTTCTCCAGTTGTTGTTTTTCGCTCTGCCAAGTCGACTTATAGAGCCTGATAAGTTAACTTATGTCGGGTTTTCTACACAGTTTGAGTTCCTATTTGGATTCTGTTTGGGTTTCTGTTTTAATATAAATAGGAACAAATTTTTAGGGTTTGTGAGTAGTGAATTGGAGATATTTGGAGCACAAAAAGAGGTATTTTCTGAGCTATTGGTTAGAGTTTTGTTTGGAGAGAATTAGAGATTTGTTGGTGATGTTAATTGGTAAGTTCGAGTGATTTGTAATCTCAGTTTGTATTCTTCTTCTCTATTAGTAAAAACCTCATCCCCTTTTGTCCCGTGGACGTAGACAACTTGCCAAACTACGTTAAAATTGGTTGTTTGTGTTTGTGCCGTTATTTTGGTTTGTTTTGCCTTCTCTCGACGTTTGTTTGGTTTGGTTTGGTTTCTCGAAGCACATAGATTTGATGGCTTTCGCGCGCACAACATAGTGAGTGGATGAAAACTTTTTAGAAAAGTTGATAATTTGATTTTAATTAGTGAACTTGCTAAGTATGAAAGTAGAGTCAATTTCACAGTGGTGCAAGTAATTTTTCCTTAATACTTCCAGCCCCCAAAACCCAAGAAAACGTGATCCTCCCCCCCCAAAGACTTTGTCAACGGGTGTTTTACCCCCCAAAATAAAGATTTTGTTCTCTGAGCCCCCAAAACCCCCCAAAGACTTTGTCAACGGGTGTTTTACCCCCCAAAATAAAGATTTTGTTCTCTGAGCCCCCAAAACACAAAACCCAAGAGATTAAAATATGTGAAGACCATAATACCCTTCTCTCTCTCTCTCTCTCTCTCTCTCTCTCTCTTTATCATGATGTACTGAGATGATAGTTTAAATGATTGATGAGATTATTTTATTATTTTTATTTTTTATTATTTTCATTGTTGATGAGGGGAACTAACTGTTTGTATTGGGAAATTGTTAAAGTTACGGGTTAATTGTTAAGGTTACGAGTTAATTGTTAAGGTTACAGGTCAATTGTTAAGGTTATGGATTCATTCTCTCTCTCTCTTGAAATGATTGATGATGATTGTTAATTTATTATTTTTATTTTTTATTATTTTCGTTGTTGATGAGGAAACTAATTGTTTTTATTTGTATTGGGAGATTGTTAATGTTACGGGTTTAATTGCTAATGTTACGGGTTGGTTGTGAAGGTTACATGTTTAATTGGTAAGGTTACAGGTTTAATTGTTAAGGTTACAGGTTTAATTGTTAAGGTTACAGATTTGTTGTTAAGGTTACGGGTCGTTTGTTAAGGTTACAGGTTGGTTGTGAAGGTTACGAGTTTAATTATTAAGGTTACATGTTTAATTATTAAGGTTACGGTTAATTGTTAAGGTTACAGGTTGGTTGTTAAGGTACGGGTCGGTTGTTAAGGTTACAGGTTAATTATGAAGGTTACACGTTGGGATATATATGTATATATATTTTGAGTGGAATGAATACTTTGGGTCACTTGGCCTAGTGATAAAGTTTGGGAGTTTGGACAAGAGGTTAGGGGTTCAAACCCCTACAGCCATAATATTTTTAGAATATTCGTTGTTAAGGATAATTGTTGATTGTGAAGGTTACAGGTTGGTTGTTAAGGTTACGGGTTTGTTGTTAAGGTTAAGGGTTTATTGTTAAGGTTACGAGTTTGTTGTTAAGGATATACGTTGATTGTGAATGTTACGCTTACGCTTTGGTTGTGAAGTGAACCTACACAACAAACCCGTAACCTTAACAACTAACCCGTAACCTTAACAGCCAACCCGTAACTTTAACAACAACCCGTATCCTTAACAACGAATATTCTAAAAACCCGTAATGGGTTGGTTGTTAAGGTTACGGGTTTGTTGTTAAGGTTACAGGTTTGTTGTGTAGGTTAACTTTACAACCAAAGCGTAACATTCATAACCAACGCATATCAACAAACTTGTAACCTTAACAACAAACCCGTAACCTTAACAATCAACCATCCTTAACAACGAATATTCTAAAAATATTATGGTCGTAGGGGTTTGAACCCCTAACCTCTTGTCCAAACTCTTAAATTTTACCACTAGGCCAAGTGACCCAAAGTATTCATTCCACTCAATATATATATACATATATATCCCAACGTGTAACATTCACAACCAACCCGTAACCTTAACAACCGACCCGTAACCTTAACAATCGATCCGTAACCTTAACAACAAACCCGTAACCTTAACAATTAAACCCGTAACCTTAACAATTAAACCCGTAACCTTAACAATCGACCCGTAACCTTAACAACCGAATTGTAACATTAACAACCGACCTGTAACCTTAACAACAAATCCATATCCTTAATAATTAAACCCATAACCTTAACAATTAAACTTGTAACCTTAACAATCTCCCAATACAAACAAAAACAATTAGTTTCCTCATCAACAACGAAAATAATAAAAAACAAAAATAATAAAATAACAATCTCCTTCAATCATTTCAACATAATCACAGTAACATCATGATAGAGAGAGAGAGAGAGAGAGAGAGAGAGGATCCATAACCTTAACAATTAACTCGTAACCTTAACAATTAACCCGTAACTTTAACAATCTTCACAATACAAATAGTTAGTTCCCCTCATCAACAACGAAAATAATAAAATAATCCTCATCGATCATTTCAACTATCATCTCAGTACATCATGATAAAAAGAGAGAGAAGGGTATTATGGTCTTCACATATTTTAATTTATCAGGTTTTGTGTTTTGGGGCTCAGAGAACAAAATCTTTATTTTTGAGGGCAAAACACTCGTTGACGCGCGCGCACGGGGGAGAGGGGGAGCATGCTTTCTTGGATTTTGGAATTTGGAATTTGGGGGCCGGACGCATTTTCCCCTAATTATAAATATACATACATTTTCATGACATCCCGCCGCAACCACAACCAGCCCAGAACCCGTTTACTAGTTGTTATTGTATCCTTACCCTGAGAGAGGCCGAAGTCCAGATTGACTTAAAAAAAGGAGCTTTATTCATCTCCTCCTTACAATCTTCTCGATCTCCAGAGTCCTCTACGCTTCGCTCCCCCGTCTCGTCTCGTCCCCCTCTCAAACCCTAAATCCGCCATGGCCAAAGAGGAGAAGCTCTCCTTCTCTTTCTCCTCAAAACCCTCATCTCGGCCTACCTCCTCCAAACGCCCCAAACCCTTCGACCCCCAAGAATCCATGGACTCATCTTCCTCAAAACCCCAATTCGTCACCGTCTTCGACCCCTCCGAAACCCTAACCGAAACCCCTCCGCGCTCAGTCGTCAGTTGCCCCAATCCCAACTCAACCGACTTCCGGTCCGGCGGAATCAAGAAGATGAAAACCTCTCCCTCCCTACGACGGGATCCCAGATCAACAACCCTCGGAATCACAAAAATTCTCTCGATTCAAACTCCACCGGCCGCCCTTTGGACAAACATCCTCCACGGCCTCACTCTCCGATCCACCGCCGCCGACGCCGATTCAGCCGTCCCCGCCGAGCAAGAAGACCTAACCCTAAAAAGATTCCATGAGGACATGAGGAACCTTCCGGAAGACCGCGGCATGGACGAGTTCAAGGACGTCCCCGTCGAGGGCTTCGGCGCGGCTATCCTTGCCGGTTATGGGTGGTCGGAAGGTAAGGGAATCGGGAGGAACAATAAGGGTGATACTAAGGTTGTTCAGTATGATCGACGGGCTGGGACTCAAGGGTTAGGGTATAATCCGACTGTGAATGTTGCTATAGTGAAGGCGAAGAAAGGGAGTGATGCGAAGTACTTGGTGAACAAGATGTTCAAGATTCCGGAGCCTGCGCCGGTTAGAATTGTTAGGATTGTTTCGGGGAGGCATGTTGGGCTGAAAGGTGAGGTTTTGAGGAAGGGTGAGGGGTCTGAGCTTGTGCTGAGGTTGGTTGATGGTGGGAAGGAGGTTAGGGTTGATGAGGAGATGGTTGCTGAGTTGGGTTCGGAGGCGGAGGAGAGGTGCTTGAGGAAATTGAAGGAGTTGCAGATTGTTGATAGGAAGGAGAAGAGAAGAGATAAGGATGATAAGGGTCCTAGTAGTTCAGGTGATAATCGGAGTAGAGGTAGCAAGGATAAGAGCAAGAGCCCGATTCGATGGTTGAGAAGTCACATTAGGGTTAGGGTTATTAGTAAGGATTTCAAGGGAGGGAAGTGGTATTTGAAAAAAGGAGAGGTGGTGGATGTTGTGGGGCCGACGACTTGTGATATGTCGATGGATGGAAACAGGGAGCTTGTGCAAGGGGTGGATCAAGAGATTTTGGAGACTGTATTGCCGAAACATGGGGGGTCGGTGCTTGTGCTCTATGGGAGGCATAAAGGGGTTTATGGGAGTCTAGTGGAGAGAGACATGGAGGAGGAGACTGGGGTGGTAAGAGATGCAGATAGTCATGATTTGATCAATGTGCGGCTTGAGCAGATTGCTGAGTATGTTGGAGATCCGAGCTATCTTGGATATTGATTCTTTTAGAATAATTGCTGGAGCAGCTAAAGAAGTGAGCTAGAGGTAAGTTTTGGTATTATGGTTATCAAGAGATTTTGATTTTCAGTCTGATTATAGAAATTATTATTAGTGATCCCCTGGTTATTAGAAATTGGACTTTATTTAGTTTTACACCAATACACAAAGTATAACAAAGACATTTTTGGGTGAGCATTGAACTTCTAGTTCCAATTATTAATGAGTATGAACCCATTACATTACATGGTGTTTTAGATATGATCAGAACAAGTTTTCTTATTCTCTTGGTTGTTTTTTATGTTTATAGCTACAATACATTATGTGTGGTTTTTAATTGTATTTTTCTGTTTGATCGTATATGACATGTATGACTTTTTCTAACGTGCACATGCTTTACATGAGCAGCACTACAAATATATGTTTCTCGTTGTGTAATCTAACTGTACATTCTTGTGTCCCCCCATCTAAGGGTGTATTGCAACCTGGTTAACACAATTTTACATGAGCAATGGCAAATTCATCACAGCTAAAATGCTAATTAAATGCACTATATTTACTTAGGAACCCTTCTATCTTAATATTTGTTGATGTTAATAACCAAACAGATAATAAAATAGGGGTGAGGTTGATTGGGGCCGCTAACTTCTCCGAATATCTGTTTTGAGTTGAGTAGTTTCAGCCTGCACAAATAGCAATTCATGAGAGGACGGAGACTAGTTCCCCCGTTGTTCCTCCGACGATCAGGTCAGTTGATGGACTTGAGTGGGCAAGTGATGAACCGTATGAGTTCTTAAGTGTAGTGCAGTGGAATTCTAAGAGATTGTTTGCTTAGAAGTTGCTTAAGATTGCTTACAATTGCTTAATATTGCTTACATTATTATTGAGAATAGTACTCCTACTTATAGTGATGGTAAAAGGATAGAATGGTAATTCCGACAGAGTATGGTATGACGGTCGACGTCAGCATCTGCTTTATAGGCGTCGGTCGACGAGTGGAAGAGAGGTCACTTCAGTATTAAATACAAAGTGATTAGGGGCATGGCGGTGCCGACGTGGTCCGATGAGTCATAAAGACTATTGAGGGTAGAGGAATGATGACACCTGCTAAGTATTTAATGTTATGCCGACATGTTGTTAGCGGAGGAGGCTCGAGGTTGAAGTTGTCCTTTGGCTTGGTCGAGAAATAACGTATTTCAAGTCGACCTTGCAAGGTGTCGAATAACTGGTCGGGTGGGCTCGTAGCGAGTCGTCTTCGACAAGTGGACCGACAAGTACTACCCTTCGAGTCGATCTAAGAAGATGTCGATTCGGCGAGTTGGCTAACTCGGGCTTCTTTATGGTCATGACCGTCAATCTAATTTGAGCGGCTTATGTAGGGGGACACCTGCCCTTTACTGGCAAAGGATCGTACTTTGGCGACTAAAAACATCATAATAATATCCTTCATGGTTCTCCTTTGTAGTTCCAAGTAGACAAATCGTTCTATATAATTTGTGTTTTTTTCTACATACCTAATATGTTCTTTCATCGTTTTACTGTTAAATCCTAACCTTTTGTTTTCAATCGTATAATATAAGTTAGCATGCCTACGTCCTTGAAGAATTTGTTTGAACCCTTGATCCGGTTAAAGTCCATTGTGATGAAGATTAATGTTGAAAAAAGTGTCAGGCAACATGGGGAAAGGTGCACCTAGCACCTTTGTTGAAAATAACACTAGCATAGCATAATGCTCTATGTACCTCCTGTCAAAGTTAAACAAAAAAGCAAAAAATATCTTAATGCATGACGTAGGTTATTTGATTTATTAATTATTTAGATATTTGATAACTAAAGCATATGCACAATCATTTTAATAAATAAAATCATCACAATTTTCAAATATAACATCACAATTATCCAATGTATTATCATAATTTCTCAATAAAAATACGTCATAAATGCTAAAAAACCAATCCAAAAGCACATTCACTTCTAGTTTAAGGGGAAAAAAAGAAAGGAAATACTCTCAGGTCTCGATAATAAACTATATTATAATAACACAAGTTATATTGGAATAATGTAAGTTATATTGAAATAACACATATTATATTGTAACAACATAGAGTTATGATGTGTATGGTTTATTTTAAAAGGTAAAATAACATTTTAATGTCTGTTAGGTTACATAATAGAGAATAATGAGTTATGTAACGAGTTTTTTCAACAATGCTTAGCACATTTGGATGAAATGACGTACAAAAAGTCGCTTACAAGCCTAATACATTACTGGTTAAATGGATCCAATATAAGATGGAAGAATAAGAACTTTGGGTACCTATTTGTATGATTAGATAAATACAAAAAGTTATGTAAACTGATGTCAAATCATGTTTACAAGCTACAAAATGGCATTTGGGGAATAAAATTGAACAAATTAAGAAAAAAGAATTATCTATAAAAATAGTTTTTTATTGGAGGCTTCTTCAGTAAGTATTTAGCTACTATAGAAAGTATTTAGCTACTACGATGATTGCTGAATAGATTTCAGAGTGAAAAGAGAGATCATATGATCATTTGTTAAAAAAATAAATTCTAATGATAGGTCCCTTGGTAGATTATTTTGCAAGTTTTAGAAAGACAAAGACATGTACTAGCATATTGATATATCATTTATGCGATAGAGTAGTAAATTCTGGTGTGAAAATTTGAGGGGACTCGATTTTTTGCCTTAACCCTTAGTCTTGCATTGAGGTTCAGAGCGAAGTTTTTTTTATTGTTTTGTAATAGATCTAATCATCTAATTGAAGATATGTTCACAATGAGTTCCTTTGCCACATGTTTGTTGGTGATAGTTTATTCTTTGATGAGAAGAAGGGGTAAGTAGTTTATAAAGTAGAAGCCAAAGAGAACTCTTCAATTGAAATGCTTGGTTGGACAAAATAGAATAAGGGTGCATTGCGTTTAGTAGGTTGCAACTAGAAAGGTTGCAACTACAGTTGTATGAACTGGATCGTTTTTGTCCAATTGCAAGTGTTTGTTTCATTGTAACTAGATGTTGCAGTTGCAATTACAGTTGCAAATGACCTTCTAGTTGCAACTTTTGACTTATGCAATTTTGAGCATAAGTCGTACTCGCAACCATGTTGTAACCATCCAAATTTAATAAAAAAATAAAAACATCAAAATCATTATTTAAAATTTTAAATTTTCAAAATATCAAAGAATTTTATTTAAGATTTAAAATAATTTTATAAAACTTATAATTTAATATTGAATTTTTTCAAAAAATAAATTATTGGAAAATATTATTTTTTAGAAAATACTTATGAAAAATATAATTTAAAAAACATATCTTTTAAATATATTTAAAAAAATATTTTAAGAATATATATTTTAAAAGAAAATATATTTTTCAAAAATATAAATTTTCTTTAGAATACATTTTAAAAAATCATTTTTAACAATATTATTTTTATCATTTTTTCACAAAAAAATATTTTAGAAATTATTATTAAAAAATATACTCATAAAAATACAATTTGTTAAAATATATATTTTTATGAAAAAATTAATTTATCAAAAAAAATTTATTATTTTTAAAAATAGGATTTTTTAAAAATTATATGTTTTTTGAAATTATTTTTTAAAAATTTATTTTAGAAAAAGTAAAAATGCATTAATATTTTAAAAAATGAATATCCTAAATATATAAAATTAAGTAATTATTGTTGTCAATTTTTCAAAAGGAGAAAACAAGTTGCATACAAAAAGTTACAAGTAGTACCAAACAACTCCAACTCAAAGTGAAAATTTTAAACATTGAACCAAACAATTATAACTGCAGTTGCATGAAAAAGTAGTTGCAATACCTCAGTTGAATGCAAGTGACAGTTGCAATTTACCAAACACACTCTTAAGTGAAATACAACTTCAGCAAAACTAGGAGTGTAAATAGAGGGATTTTATTTGTAGAAGAAATGATTAAAAACGAGTACAGAGGGCTGTGGAAATTTTTTCTAAGCAGACTAAACAAGCATGCTAAAAAGGTAAAGTATAGGCGTATAGCGGTCTCCACCCATAAGAAGGTACAGTTTGCTTCAAGTGAGGTTAAAGCAAGTGAAGATGATTGAATTCAGATATGTGTGGTAGAAGCCCAACAAGTTGTGTTGCTAGGGCTTAGGTGGGTTAGCTGGGAGTAGGGTTAGACATGCACAAAAATATATTATTGTAGTAAAATTAAAGGATATGATGATTGTGAATTAACACAAAGTGGCCCTTAATAGGACAAATTGAAGTAAACTGATTCATTCAGCTTATTTAGAGTAAGAGCTCTTTGTTGGTATTTGATGATTGATATTTGGTAGCTGATGGTGTCTTAAGGAATTTTGTAAAATAATTTGCAATAACTTTGTGCCTCCAGGTGTTTTAAGGGGAAAAGGCTCACAATGAGGATGCTAAAGTTAGAGATGTTTTTAACTCATAGAAACTATGATTACAGCGACAGAAATCATTTGCAATAACTTCCAGGTGTTTTAGGGGAAAAGGCTTACATTGAGGATGGTAAAGCTGGAGATGTTTTTTTACTCATAGAAAATATGGTTTTAGTGACATTTTTTCTGGACATGCGTGCTTCCTGGTATTTCAGAGAATATGTAGGATTGTTAGGTTTCATGTGTGCTATAACTATCCTAGTGGCTGATTTCTGTAGAAGTACTGACCAGTAAAATACATAAGAATCGTCGTGTTTCCCACAAGTCACATAGAGTTGCTGAAGTCTATGTCAAAGTTGAATATTAGTTAAAGTTAACAAAGAAGTCAATTACAATGGGCCTAAAGCTTGAAGATAATTTTCTTACCAATTTTAAATGGATTAGTTCTAATTGAAAAATATTTCAGACACATGTAGTTATGAGGTTTACATCACTCTTTGGTTAAGGGTGGGGGTTGGGTGGGGGTTGGGTGGGGGAGAATGCAATAGTTGTGGTTTCTTGTCTTGAAAGAGAGTGATGTGGAGAAGATTGGTGGGAAGAGAATGCCGATTTTCTGCCATTTGGTTCTCTTACCTTACGATGGACAAAAGTCAATGACGTCAGTCATGTTAACCATCTCAAGAATGCAGAAGCAGAGGCTGCACAAGCCAACCCTTTTATTCAGGGTTCTGAAAAACAATTCAAGTCTTATGCCCTATGTTGCAGGGGTATGGGTACTGGTGTGGGTACCAGTATCAGTACGGGACACAACAAATTTGTAAATGGTAGGAGACACGGCTATATAAATATTTATATACACATATATTATATATTGGAATTAATAATTTCTATGAGAACAAGTAAGATAATTAGAATTCCTATAACAATTTTGTGTTCCTTTTATTATGTGGATTATAAATTGGAAAATCACTAGTTTCTGAACTAGACATCCAAACGACCCTTCAAAATCATAATTCAGAAGCTGACCTATGTCCAACGAGTTTCAAGAAATGGATGTGAAGTGTAGAATATATGTACAAAAAATGTATGACAAATGTTTTAAATTAGAACATGTATTGTATAATTGAGTACATACTTGAATAAATGTATGCATATATGCAACTATTTAAGGAGTGTCCGAGGAGTTAGGGTACGGGTACGTCTGGGTACGGCTTCAGATTAGAAGTACTTGTGTATCATAGCAGTTATGCCCAAGCTGCTGCTGTTTGAGCTGATCTCTGGGACCAAAGGGCCTGCAGCTGCCTAGAGGCACCTTCAGGTTGCATTGCTGGAGGCTTGTCGCTGACATATCAGTTTGGATTGGTTGGATTTTTGAGGGATGCATTTGTGTGCTCTCAGAAGAAAGTGGTGAACACTTGAACATTTGGAAGAAGCAGAGGCTGAGGGAGATGCTAACAAAACAAGAGGAGGAACTTTTGTGAGGCATGTTTAGAAGGTTACATCATTAAATATTTTCCAGGAGTCTGTATTTTCTATCAAGATCTTGATCATACTAACTAGTCCTTCAAGTATCACTAAAGGGCATTAAGGATGAGATGTAGAGCGTTGTTAGCGTTGTAATCTTGCATCGAGGTTGAGAAGTGGGGGCTAAAGTCCCAATTAGTTGCCAGAGTCTATGGTGTCATTGAGCTTATATTGACATGAGCCCAGAGAAAGATGAAATTGGTATCAGATAGAGATCCTTCTTAAATCCAACAATACAAAACTTGCCCGTCAGAGCTTTTTCCATTTTCTATATTAGCTTATATAACACAAGGATTGCAAAGATGATGGAATTGACTATATAGCGAGTGTTTTTTTTTAACAATTTGAAACTAAAGTCGATAGTTTCTAACTTTTTCTTTAAAGTTGGACCAGTTGGATGGTATTCAAGGTTTCAGTTACTACATATGACTAGTTCTTAAAGAATGATGTGAAAAGAAAGGAAGCATAAAGAAGGACAAAGAAAAATGAAGGGAAACTATAGCAATTATAAGGGCCTATAATGTTTTTTTTAATCGGTGTTTTTTTGACTGCTACAGTATTTTGAATTTTTTTAAACGATACAGTATCCGCCTTGCTACAGTATTCCCGTGTGTCACAGTAATAATTTCAAAAACGCAATGTCCAGTTTCATGTTGATACAGTAAATACTGTTGTAGTATTTTACTGTAGCGTGAATAGTGAATCTTGGGTTCTACCATTTGTATAGAGGAGTAGATATGAATAACCAACCTAAACATATACAAATTGTGTATTCACATATTCAGAAGTAATACATCTTTGTAGCTGTGTCCTCATGTTTAGATTTGGGTGACTATTGTGTATAACACCCATGTCTGGATATAACACTGATGTCCATGTCGGCGACTAATAGGTAATAAGTTAGGATTTTGTGTCAGTGTAAGGCTTATGTAATGTAGCTGCATTTGACCGTTGAGAAGGGTGAGCTGCAATGCGATTAAAAAAAACTGTATTTTAAAGAAGTTAAGAGTAGCTTTAGCCAAATATAATAGGGAGAGATCAAAATTGCTCTTCCCATAAACTAAATGATGTTTCTTGCTTTTGTTTCCCTGATCAGTTTACATCTTTTCTTCATTCTTCTTTTGTTTCTTTTTCATTCTTTACGTGACAAGAAATACAAGATTTGTATCTGTTTTTCTTGCAATTTAGTTTTTTGTATTCAAGTCGAATTGAAATTTGAAATACTTCTCTTATTTATAGGAACAAAAGCAGTTGATCTACGCCTTTTTCGTAACGATGTGTGTGGTTTGTTGTTTTAAAGTTAGCATTCTCCATGTTATATTTAGTCCTTTAACCTGCCATTGGTAATTTGCAGGCTGTTGGATCAAAGCTTGTCAATGCTGTATCAATAGTTGATGCATATCCTTTCCGAATTGATGTTTAATAGAGGATTCAGTGTTACTCTTGACCGTACAACGTGGTACCACCTAATTAAATCTGGAGAAACTATTTTTATGTTTGCTCCCATCCCAGCTGGTACACTTGTTAATTTCTTCCAGGTAATTCATTCTTCTAGCATCATCCTTGTAGGCTGATGATAATGTATAAGATAAAACCTGAGCAGGATTGTATTTGGTGTTTTGTATTGATTTTGGCAGCAAGATGTTTGATACATTGCAACATCCTGTGATTTGCTGACCAACTCTTTGATTGTAAATTATTAGTTATTACAAATTAGAGCTGAGTCAGGATAAATAATGATGCTTACGAGTCAAAGCTTAACTGAATGAAATGTTGCTTCATAGTTTCATTTCTGGCCATTGTTCACTCAATATACCGTCACTATGAGCAGTGCGTTTTATGTCTGTCTTCAAATACTTCGGTTCTCCAACTTGTGTTCTTCACATTCTGAACTATATGAGAGCTTGGGCTGTGAGGGAACACTTCCCAGAAGGAAGGATCAGTTTTCTATGTTCAAAGGGTTTCTCATGAAAATTTGACAGTGGTCGTCTTTGAGCCCGGGCGGATCGGTCGTGATGTAAGTGTTAATATGTAAGGACAGTCTTTCTAGCGTGGCCTATGCTGCATCAGCATGTGCATTTTATCGTACACCATCACCGTGACAACAAATTGTCATTCTCAAGCAATCTACCATTTACTAGAACAAAGAATGGTAGGCAAGATAGACAACCATGATCAAAATGAACAATCATTATCTGTGATGTTTACAACGGAAAACGCGAGCCATAAAATTACTAGGGCTACAGCTTAAACAAGTTTGTCAGCAGTATATCATTGTGAGGTTTTACCAGAGTCTAACGAGCATCTTAAGGGCGAATGTTAACGGAGCCTCTGGAGTATGAGTCGAGATGAAGGAAATGGGACGCGGATGAAGAAGGAGATAGGATTAACCTTTTAGGTTGACGGATCTTCTTATTCTCGGTGGATGGCAGGTTGTTATCAGTTTCAAAAGACTCAAGTGGAGCAATTTCTTTTCGCGTAGGGAATCAATGATTATGGCAATGGAGCTGGACCAGCTGGGGCTTATCGTGTCCCATTGAAGGTTTCTTGTCTTGCTTGTAATTTAACATAAACAGTGTAGAACATCATAATCAGATTTGTAGAAAAAAAACCTTTGGCAATATGTTCACGTTTAACCATGTACAACTGCAACAGTTGCTTATTTCAATGCCAGTTGAACAGCTAAAGTGCACCTAAATGCCGCATACTTCCACCAAACTTGCACTTTAATATTCCTTATGTTGATGTTATATAATCACGCAGATAAACTGTTAGGAACTGGATTAATGAGGGGCCGCTAACTTCTCCGAATATCTGGTTTGGAGTTGAATTGTTCTTCCCTGCACGTGTAGCAACTCGTAAGAGGGCGGAGTCTGATTCTCTCATCGTTCCTCCGACGATTAAGTTAGTAAGGTACTTGAGTGGGGGAACAAATGACGAACTGTACCAGTCCTTCAAGTGCAGTGGAGTAGAGAAAAATGCAGAGAAATTGCTTACCCTTGTGTTGGGAATAATTTTCTCTTTTATGGTCATGAACGAAGGGCATTTTGGTCTCTTCGGCCGAGTCTGGGCTGGCGGCTGAGTCAGCGTCGACTTTACATATGTCGGCTGTGGAGTGGTTATGGAATAAACGCGGTCATTTCAACATTAATGAGATGAGATAGGCGGCGTACGAAGCCGACATGGTCCGATGTGCCTTAAATAATGCCGGAGATTGAGAAATGATGGCGTTTGTCAATCATTTAATGTGGTCGACGTGCTGTCAGCTAAGGGCTCGAGGACGCAGTCGCCTTTTGGCTTGTATTGAGGGGTGTCAAGGGGTATCGCCTTTCGAGTCGTCTCTCGTGAGATGCCGACCAAATAACTAGTTGAGTAGGCTTGCGACAAATCGTTTTTAACGAGAGTACTGACAAGTACCGCCTTCCGAGTTGATAAAGCGAGATGTTGACTCGGCGAGTCCGCTAAATCGGGACCCTAGCTATCCCAAATGTCGAGTCGACTGAATTAGGTGTAATGGGGGACACATGTCTGTTGTTAACAGGAGATCACAATTTGGCGACTGAAAACACTATAACAGCTTATTTTAAAATTATGCACTTAAATAACCCCCAAAATATAGTATTGCATATAAATGCTCTAAAGTTTTAAAATGTTGCCCGTTGGTGCCCTCTTGTTTATGCAATGCTACACGTTACTGTTTTCTTATTTATCCAATATTACATATAAATATCCTTAATTTGTAAATAGCCTAGCTTGAATGCCCTAAGTTTCTAAAATAATTTACTGGATTTTTTAACTATGAAACATTCATCTGCAACACTTAAATACTTTAAGATATTTTCTTACTCCTATTTAACTTTAGTGCGAGATTTGTGAAACTTTTGGGCATTTAAGTGCAATTCAGCCCCAGTTGCACACAGTTAAAAGACCCAGCATTTTTCGAATTGCGACGCATGATAATTGCTAATCCACAATGACCCAAGATTAAAAAGTATGACACAACATTCCGTTAAATTCTAAACACGCACTAAAATGTACACAAAAAACAATCAAACACCCACAAAAAAAAAATCACTAACAATTCCTGCATATACTCCGTCAACAATTCCTCTAAAACTTAACACTAGCAAAGAATAGAATCGATTTTTTTTTTTTTAATTTTAAAACCCCGGTATGGAGATTCAAAGAAACCCGCAGAGAACCGAGAAACCAATAACAATGAGCCAAACGATGTGGACCAGGAGAAAAGCCTGGCCAGAGATGAGTCAGTCCGCGTGCAACCTGGCAGAACCCGCGCTTTGCCACGTGGACCCCGGCGCATGCCGCCTCAGCGCACCCGCACCAGTACGTCGCACCGTCGGCACCGCAAACCGGGTCGGGTCTGAAGCAGGTAACCGGGCACAGCGTGGACCCGGACCCGTCGGAGAGAGGTGGGCAGACGTCGGTTCGTTGGTCGGGTTTGGCGAAGGAGAGGAGGGAGAGGGTTAGGATCAGGAGGAGAGGGTATGTGGGTGATGGCATTTTGGGGGAATTAGGAAGATCGAGAACCCTAATTTCGCCCTTTTTCGGAGGAAAGGGGAAAGCGCAAGGATTTTTTTTAAAATAAATAAAAAAACAAATTATTATTATTATTATTATTATTATTTTGACAGGGTGGGTTGCTTGGATTTTCGTAATCTTGCTTGGTGACTGTTGGTGTGGTTTGGTGGACGACTGTGCTGGAGTCGGTGGTGACGGTTTTTGATGTTTGGGCCAGGGATTTTAGGAGTCCTTCTTTAATACTCCATGAATTTAGGCCGTCAACGGGCCAAATCGGAGTTACTCGACTTCAGCACTTGGACTTTGCAAAGGTTTGATGTTTGGGCCGGGTTAACAGGCAAAAATTCTTCGAGTCCAAAAGAACAAAGAAAAATAAGTCTTTGTTTTTGTTGAACGGAAGGGTAATTTTTGTGAGACTTGAGGGGTCATATTCATCTATCTTTGTCTTATGGTTGCTTCATAACATATTAACAATGTTAAAATTAATAATGCTAATTTGGCAATTAAATGAAAAGTTTTCAAGTGGGATTTAGTGGAATAAAAATGCTCAAGGGTTTATGTCATTAACCCCTAAAGTTCAAGGGGGTTTAGTGAAATAAAAAAAAGCTGAAGGGGTCTAGAGAAACAACCCCAAAATGTGAACGGTTTTCTGAAATTAGCCCTATTGAATATACTTCTTTTGAGTTGGTAGATATCCCTGCTTTATATGTAATTAGATATTGGTGGTACTACTAGAGGAATAAAAAAGTGTCATGTGCTCAATAAAAATGTAAGTTATGGACATCTAATCGTATACTCACCTAAAGCCTCGTTTGATACGCGGGAATGAGGTGGAATGGAATGGTCATTCTCATTTTTCATTCCCCAATACCAAATGTACCTATTTTTTTAGAAGTTGGAATGATCATTCCCACTTTTTGTGGGAATGAACATTCCAAGTGAATTGATAAGTAATGATCATTCCCATTCAAGTGAGAATCAAATTAGTTACGTAATTTTCAATTATACCCCTATTGATAATTTATCAAATGAGTTAATTTTGATATCTAGAACTGTTGATTGTGGATATCATTCTTTATATTATTTTTGGACCTATGAAGGATGTGATACTCTTTTAGTTATCTTTCTTTAATTTTTTAAGACTAAAAAATTATGAGTATTGTTTAAAAAATATAAACGGAACATATACCTGAGAGAAAACATTTGCATTAGTATAAAACATAGCTAGATTAATATAACCTATGCATAAATAAAATTATTTAGTTATTCTCGTTAATGTTTATATTTATCTTATTAAAAATCTATGTTGTTGTAAGGGCATTATTAGAAAATAAGATTTCATTCTCACTTGTGAACTAGTGATACCAAACATGGGAATGAGAGTGAGATTTTCATTCTAGCTTCATTCTACAAACGCACCCAAACAAGAGAATGAGAACGGTCATTCCATTCCCACATATATTCTATTCCATTCTCATTTGAGTCCATTCCCGCGTACCAAACGAGGCGTAAAAATCTTTTCAAATTAAATCTATTCATAATTATAATATTCTAATTATAATTATATATTTGATAATTCTAACCAAGTAGGGGTGTTATCGGAGCGGATACGGTTCGGATATGACGTTTACCATATCCATATCCGCTTTTTATAAACGGATACGGATACGGATACAGATCACCCTCGGTAAGAAAAAACCTTAACCATATCCGCATTTATCGGAAACGGATACGGTTCAGATATTTGAGAATCGGATCGGATATGATCACGGATATAAACGGATATTCGACATAAATCTATTGGACATATAATCTTCATACAAAACCATCAATTGAAAACTAAAATTGAGCACAAATTTATTAGACATATAATCTTCATCCAAAATCTTCAGTAGCACAACCCAACTAAAACAATAGTGTCATGAATTGTAACCAAACTACAACAATCATATCCAGAATTTCAAAGGTCTATGAATTGAAAATTGAAGGCAAAAAAGTTCAGACAACATTCAACATTCAACAAAAAGTTCATGCCACTAAACAATCTCCAAACCTTTAAACAATCTCAAGACACAACAAATACAGCCTAAAAACGCTAAGATCGTGCCACAAAACATGGAGGTGACTGATTAGTACCATCTAAGATGAAAACAATAGCTCCTACCCTAAGATCATCCCATCATCCGAGTCGTAGACCTCCATGATGTCACCTTGCAAAAAAAAGAAGAACAATTGTCATATTAAATATGAAAAA